AGGGTATCGCCGCACGGCACACCAAACGAAAACGAAACGAGTGCATCGGCCTAGGAAAGGTGGCAAAATACACTCGTTACTATTTATAGCAAACCGATGAACCTGGCCATTTTCTGTAGGAAGATGCACTCGTTTCGTGTCCCGTGAGGCGACGCCCCAAGTCCTATAACGAACGCCTGAACTGAACTGTGTCTGGGGGACTAAAGCTACTCCTGATCATACTACAGTCTACAAAGCTACTTAGATCAGCCCCTACAGTCTTCCCCCGAATACAACGTACGGTCATTATAGCTGAATTTGGTGTACCTTCCGGTCTAAATTCAGCTATAATGACCGTACGTTGCATTCGGGGGAAGACTGTAGTGACACAAGTCTGAGGACGGTCACCCTAAATCGCTTCCAGATGACTAAAACTCGACCCTCCTTTAGACCCGTCTTACCTTCCGACTACTGCCTTCCTACTGGGGAAAAAAGGACCTACCGTCTTCACCTGAATATCACGCCCGGTCATTATAGCTGTATTTGGCACAAAATTCAGCCCAGATACGGCGATAATTACCAGGCGTTCTATTCGGGTGAAGACGGGAGTGGTCTGAAAGCTTCTTGATCCTTTTCACCTACTTCTTTGCAGTACTACCGTCTTCCCCCGAACACAACGCACCCTTATTTCGGCTGTATATGGCCGGAAATATAGCTTGTATACATTCATTTTTAGGGTGCGCTATGTTCGGGGGAAGACGGTAGTCCAGAAGACTGCCTGTCCGGTTGTATCCACTCAATGAAGGATCTTTTTCCGTCTCGGGGAGATTTTGCAGGGTCACCGTGCCAAAATGACGCCGAAAGTGATTTTGGGGTCTGTGACACCTTTCTCCCCGTTTGGGGGGAGAAATGGATACAAAGGTATCGTCGCGGGGAGATTTTATGACTTTTCCGCTTTGACTTCGTCGTACTGACCCCGCCACCTGCAGTGGACCATTGCCAACCGACTGTGTCCTCCTAATATCCTATCTCCCCCTGTCGCTTATTAGGGCCAAATCCCACTGGGAAAGAGGATTGGGATGAGTGTCTGAATGTGGACTTGTTTTG